GAGAGACCGGGGGAGACCAGAGACAAGGACACGGGAGGCCATGCCTCGGAGGCGAGGCAAGGAGGGGTGACCAAGGCGGTGGTGCCAGAGGAGGGTCTGGTGGGACAGGAGGCGACACGAGCAGGGGGCAGACTCAGGACCTGACCGAGACGCTGCAGCAAACACCTGACTCGACGCAGCTACCTGACCAGACGCAGCAACCGGTGGAGACTCTGTGGTCAGTGTGTACAGACTGGACCCCGGTCGGCGGGTAAACGTGGCCAAGTGGCGGCCCGTCCGAGCACACGTGCAGTGGGTCACTCGCTGACTCGCAGGAGTGAACTGGTCAACCCCGCCATCCTGAAGGTCAGCACCACTCACCAAGTTCGTAGAGAACGAGGGGAGGTAGAGACCGGACAGGGAGCCTGACGGGGCCGCCGGACACGGGAGGACAGTGGAGTCTGCCAAGGAGACCGCAACCGGCCGACTGAGCGGCGTAAGGGTGGTGCGGTCTCGAAAGAAGGAACGAGAAGCACCCGAGTCGAGGGTGAAAGTGTGCAAAACCTAAGCCGACGCAGTACCTGAGAGAGCAGACGCACGAGTACCTGGAGCAGCAGACTCACGAGCACCTGGAGCAGCAGACTCACTAGCACCTAGAGCAGCAGCCTCAATGCCCTGGTCAGGCGGAACACACACGTAGCAGTCACCCTCAGCACTAATAGACACAGCATACATGGCAGCAAGAATAGCATCAAAGTCAAGATCAAAGATAGCTACACCCGACTTGAGCAGATCACCCCAGCGAGGGATCTCAGTGGCGTCAGGGAACTGGGAACGCCAGGCGTCAGTCAGGCGACCGAAGCAGCGCTGGGTGGCGTGCAGGCCGCCACACTGCTCTCCAGTGCGGTCGCCGGTGCGCAGGACGTAGGTACAGGGACCAGCACCCCCAGACCCCTGGCGCCCTGCGTACCACTCACGAAGCTGCTGTGGCGACGGGGTCTCACAAGAGCGCGACTGGTGCTGGGGTCCCCGCTGCACAGCTCCGCCTCTACCAGCTCCACCGCCGTCGCCTCCGCCGCCGCCACTCCAACCGCCACCGCCACCGCTGCCTCCACCGCCACTGCTGCCACCGACGCCCCCACCTCTGCCTCCGCCACCACCGCCACTAACTCCTCCCCCGCCACCTCCTCCAGCGCCCCTGCCCCGCTTGCCCTTGCCGTTGCGGCGCCTCTCGCTAGGAGCAGACGCAGCGCTGACCGACTCGGTGCCAACAAGGTCGACAGCAGCAGCAGAGGCAACGGAGGGCAAAAGAGGAACAGGGGAGCATCCCTCAAAGAAAGGGGTACGGGGGTCACCACGAGAGGCTCCTACAGCAGTAATACTAGTCTCTGCTGCAAGGAGACGCTCCTCGAGGAGGTCAACGGTGAGTGTGGTAGGGCAAAGAGAGAGGAAGTGGTCCCTGACCGAGCGAAGGGTGTCAGGGAGCCGGGTGACTAGGTAGTAGAGGGTTATATACATGGGGGGGGGGTTCTTGGCGCAGAACTCAGCAGGAAGCGCAGCGCGGTAGCGGGTGTCACTAGTGCGGAGGTGCGTAATGAGGTCAGTGACTGTGGCAAAAGCGGCGAGGTCAGGGAACAGGTACGGTAGCATGAGGCGACTAAGTGCAGCAGTGGCAGGGGAAGAGTAGCGTGCAACAACAGCGTCGTACAGAGTCTTTGCACTCTTGTACTGACTAAAGTGCGCGCGCTCAGTAGACGGTAGGTGACTACGCACAGCAAGGCGGGCAGCAGCATCGCGCGTGAGCCACTGCGAGCGAACAGCACTGTCGGCATCAGCAGCAGGGGCAGTAGAGGCGCCAGACGTGAGATCGAACAGTGAGAGACCATCCTTGCTATCGCACTGTAGGAAAAGCTGCAGATCATCTAGCCAGACATCTATGTCAACCGCTCGACCCTCAGCATTAAAGGTAAGGACACTGGGACTAGCCATGACAGGAGCAGCAGCACACTAGCAGCAGTAGCAGTGCAACTCAGCTAGGCAGGGCAGCGCGACTCGGCAGGGCGGCTCGGCAGGGCAGTGCGGCTCGGCAGCGCGGCTCGGCCCTGCTATGCTCTTACCAGGGGCGAGGCCGGGGCAGGGCCGAGGGAGGGCCGGGGCAGGGCTGCGACAGGTCCGGGACTGGGTCGGGGCCGGGGCAGGTCCGGGACGGGGCCGCAACGGGGCCAGGGCAGGGTCGGGGCTGGGGCCGGGAGTAGGTCGGGGCCGAGGCAGGTCCGGGACGGGGCCGCGACGGGGCCGGGACAGGGTCGGGGCCGGGGCAGGTCCGGGACGGGGCCGCGACGGGGCCGGGGCAGGGCCGGGACAGGGTCCGGGGCAGGTCCGGGACAGGGTCCGGGGCAGGTCCGGGACGGGGCAGGTCCGGGACGGGGCCTCGACGAGGTCGGGGCAGGGCCGGGACAGGGTCGGGGCCGGGGCAGGTCCGGGACGAGGCCGCGATGGGGCCGGGGCAGGGCCGGGACATGGTCGGGGCCGGGACAGGTCCGGGACGGGGCCGCGACGGGGCCGGGACAGGGTCGGGGCCGGGGCAGGACAAGGTCGGGGCCGCTACAGGGCCGCGACGGGGCCGCGACGGGGCCGGGACAGGGTCGGGGCCGCGCTAGGGGGCCGCGACGGGGCCGCGACGGGGCTGGGACAGGGTCGGGGCCGAGTAGGGGGGGGGCGCGTAGGGGGGGCCACGTAGGGGGCCGCGTAAGGGGCCGCGTAGGGGGGGCCGCGTAAGGGGCCGCGACGGGGCCGCGTAGGGGGCCGCGTAAGGGGCCGCGTAGGGGGCCGCGTAAGGGGAGGGCAGGCCGCGTAAGGGGCCGCAAAGGGCAGGGCAGGCCGCTAAGGGGCCGCGAAAGATTTGGGGCAGGGCGCAAAGCGCGCTTCGGGCAGAAAAAAAAAATTAAGGTGGGCCCATAGGAAGGAACAGTTCCACTAGGGAACCCGCTCTATACCATGTGAAACAATAGGAATGAATGATGGAATAGAAAATGAGTTGGGTACAAATATGAAACCCTAAGAGGTGTACCCCATAGTGTCTACCCCACCACAGCCTAAACAGGCTATGTGATTAATGTTCGACAAAAAGTTTTTTTCTTGTTTACATTGTCAGAAGACTTGCACTGTGAGATCCCCGATTGATCCTTGGAGGGTTACAGGCCTATTAGCCTAGGGGTTTATGGGCGCACTGACCCGCTACTGAAATAAGCCCTTCTATCCCAATGGTCTAGTGTTTGGGATTTGGGTTTAGTATCAGAGTGGTCTCGGGTTTGAATCTCGGAATATGCAAATATAGGCCGTTGCCGCTGTGCTCAATCCTGGGCCTCCCAGTATGGGGGGGTGTCAGTAGATCTGCACTGTGGATGCCCAATTGATCCTAGGAGGGTTACAGGCGCGTTCGCTTGGGGGGTTATGGGCGCACTCTGATCCGCTAATTAAGAAGCCATTTTATCCCAATGGTCTAGTGGTTGGGATTTTTACATACGTGTGAATGACAGACTATGATAAAACATAACATAACTCAATCACTCCAATTTTCTGGATAATTTGTGTACTTTGTGTATATATATGTTATGATAAAAAAAGCTACATTTCTTTTCAGATATTCAAAAGTTCATATACTTTTTATTTTTTTCGTTAGTGTAGTTGCTTCGCAACCCTAAGACGATCTCCTCGCCTCTTGTTTTTATTTTTATTTTCACTGGAGGTGGACATTTGTTTTTTTATATATATACTGGAATCCACTATTTATGTTTAGTGATAGCACCCATGTTGGTTGAAGCTTCATACTACAAAATAGTAACACATGCCTCATCAGCCGAACCCTATTTTGGACAAATGGTTCGATCCCCCACCAGATGACGAACCTGCACCCGAAGCTGGGGGGTATCCCGTGGTTTCAACTAACTGTTCTGGGCCCTGATTGGACATCGGCCGTTCTCGAATCGTCACGAATTTGCATCACCGTTTCGTTGATATCGCGATCTAGCAGAGCCAAGGTACGGATCCCTTGGTGCCATCAAATTGGTTAGGGCGCGTAACCTTTGATTGTGCAATCGTCGCACGCTCGAACGGGCGACGATTTGCGAGTTTCGTATTTCTCGCTGGCGCGCTCGCTGTTCTGAGAAGCTGACCGAGGCTTGTACGAGAATCTTACGAAAAAGGTTACCTGATGCCCGTTCGAATGTACGACGATTTCTAATTTTGAGGGTGACACGCCCTTACCCTGCGAGGGTCATTGGGATTTCGAACCCATTTTGGCGTTTGCATTTTCGGGACGGTGCTCAGGTTGACATCAGGTGAGTCACTTCAAATCGACTTGGTTCAAGTCAAGGGCATGACGGTGGCGATTTACAACCAAGTCTTCAGGTAATATTTTTCGCCGACAGACGGCGGCGATTTACAACCAAGTCCAGGTTTTTTTTTTCGCCGACAGGATTAACTCCGAGTAACGATCGAATCGCAGATTTAGAACACAGTGCACCAGTAATGTCAGTCCGACCATTCCCAGCTCCACAGGTGAGCTCCCTCCTTGTGTGTCCTGTGCACCGGCCGCAGCCGCCTTCACTACATATGCAGCGGATAAAGTCACGTAAGCCAGAAGTGGCAAGGCTTGTGCTCCCACTCTGCTCTCTGGGTTCCCTGTCGTCTCTGTGAGCCTCGCTTTTGAACTGACTGCTGTCACGGCGGGCTCGCACCAGCAAACCGCCGGATCCATTACTCTCAGTCTTCAACGAAATCTATGATTTTGACACGCGCCATTGCTGGTGGTCGCCGGCTGTTGCCGGTGGTCGTTGCCGTCTTCTTGACGGTTTCCTTCAAGGCCGAACCCGCCAAATTCACGGTCGAATCCACCCCCGTGAATGGTGGTGATGAAAGTAGGCCGCGACACTGCTTCTTGACGATTTCCGACTCAGAGAGCGCCGGGTTTTTTTCTTGATGATTTCCTTCAATTCACCCCGGGTGGGCCACCGTGAACCATGGTAAAAAGAAGCCCGTGGCTCATTTTACTCCCTCCCCTCCCCTTCCTTCCCCTTCGTTCCCCTTCTATTCCCTTCCTTTCCATTCTTTCTCCTTGGTTCCCCTTCTCCTTCCTTTCCCTTCCATCAACCGTTGATGTTACTTCCAGCAGCGATCAATTGCCAGCATTTTCCGAACCGACATCTGGTGGGCCGGGTGGGAGAGTTCGAAGGCGAGCTCAACTATGACCTGCCACAGCATTTAAGGTCGGTTGGCGGTGCTTACCAGAACGGTTACTTGCTGGAGCCTTTTATCACTTGGAACACCCACACACCCACACACACACCCGCACGCACACACCCGCACGCACACACCCGCACGCACACACCCGCACGCACACACCCGCACGCACACACCCGCACGCACACACCACACACTCCCCACATACACACACCCACGCGCATACACTCACACCCACACATCCATACGCACACATCCATACGCACACACCCACAAACCCACACCCACACCCACACCCTCGTGACGAGTTGACTCTTTGGCCGGCTCAAAAGTAATTGCTCTCTTCATCCATTCTTTGCCCCTCCCGCACAACCACGCCAGGAATCACCCAGAGCAAGTCAACCTCGTCTCTCGCCCACTGAGTTGCCCTCTTGACACCTCTCGCCTGCCCAACATCCTACCTCCCCTCACCCCTCTCTCTTTCCATCCGTTCTTCACACCCACACCCCCCCCTCCCCCACCTCTTCCCCCCCCCCACCCCCCACCCCCTCCTTTCCCCCTCCTCTCCCCACCTCCTCTCTCCACCTCCCCTCTCCTCCACCCCTCCCTACCATCCCACGCCAGGACCCACCCTGAACGATCCAACCTCGTGATTCGCCCACTGGGCTGCCCTCTTGATACCTCTCGCCTGCCCAACGTGTTTATGGGCTTCTTCGAACCTCTCCCTCTCCGCAAGCCTTGGCCCGCCAGCTTCTACGGCACTCCAATCAAACCCGGAAGTGACATTCCTTGTGTCACTTCAGGTGCCATCTCAGGTGGCGGTTCAAGTGACGGTTTGAGTTTCAGTATCAATGGCAGTTTAGAGAGCAGCTCAAGTGGCAATTCAAGAAACGGTACCAAAAACGTTGTATTTGCTTCAGCAGACAGTGCTTCAGCAGACAGTGCTTCAGCAGACAGTTTCACAGGCGAGACAGACTGGATAAAGAAGCTCGGGTGCCACGGCCCTCCCTGTCCCTCCTTCGGCTCATGCACCGCCCACTTCCCCAACGTGCAGGCGTGCTGGAACCCGCACCTCGTGGACGAACCCGAGATTGAAATCGCCCCTCCTATAAACTGCCCTCTTAAACGGAATAGCACCGCGTTGGACAGGTGGAGGAAGGGAACGGGGAGGGCGCCGTTCGACGAGACGTGCTCGAGCCGGAAGGACTTCACGCCGCATGGGGCGAGCGCGCTGCAGGTGATGCGGCTGGAGGATGTGTGTGTGACTGACAATGGCTTTGCCGTCCACCTCTTTCAACTGCTTTACCTTGACATTCGCTTCTTAACCCGCACCTTGTAATTTTCGCGATCGGTGCTGCAGGTGATGCGGCTGGAGGATGTGTTTGTGACTGACGGTGGCGTGAATCTCAACCGCACGCACGCGTTCGTGAGGAACGGGTGCTGGCGCTTCCCTGGAACGGTGATAGGTGGCTGTGTGGAGGGAGGGAGGGATGTGAGTGAGAAGGGGTGTGGTGGGGAGAGGGTTGTGTGGAGGGAAGGAGGGATGCGAGTGAGAAGGGATGTGGTGGGGAGAGGGTTGTGTGTGTTGTGTACGATGAGTGTCTCTGCGATGATACATAGTGTGCGCGTGCAAATGGCAGCTCGGCACATCCCGGAAACAACTTGTACCACTCCCTTCCCTTCCCTTCCCTTCCCTTCCCTTCCCTTCCCTTCCCTTCCCTTCCCTTCCCTTCCCTTCCCTTCCCTTCCCTTCCCTTCCACCAGCAGGCCAAGTATGAGGCGGGCCACATGGTGCACGAGCTGCCAGCCGTGTTCAACTTGGCTCACCAACCCGGAGACAACTTCTACCACTTCCTCGTGGAGCTCCTTCCTCTCTTCCTCGTCTCTGCGCCCCTCATGCCCTCCACGCTTCGCCTCCTGCCGGTGCTCCTGAGGCATAAACAGGTGAGTTGAGTCGAGCAGCGCGCAGCACCACCTGAATGGCTGTCAACAGTTTGGAGAGATCTCAAAACTTGATTCAAGCACTTGGTTTCCAGGGGCGGCCAGGCGGGGTTTGAATCAAGCAGCTGCATTTGTTAGATTTCTCCAAGTGTCCACACTGCTGCAACACCTGCCCCTGCTCGCTAGGGCTGGCTAGATGGTGTATGACCCATGCGCCTGCATGCCTTACAACAGCCGTTGTAGCTTCTGTGCCCTGCTGCGTCCTGCTGTGCTGTGGGGTGGGTGGAACTGTTGGTTGACCCACCGCATGCTATCTCGTTCTCGTGCCTCTCACCACATGCTATCTCATTCTCGTGCCTCTCACCACAGGTGCGTTTGTGCGAGCAGCTGGGTGCGCCATATCCAGTATGCCTATTGTTCGTCCAACACTTTTGCAGCCTTGCTCCCATACATTGCGTCGACCCGGAAATCGTTTCCATCTCCTTCCCTTGCCTCCCGTGCTAACCCATATCCCTGCCGCTCCTCCCTCCAGGCGCGTTGGTACGAGCAGCTGGGAGCTCCACTCCTCGGCATCCAGGCAGATCAGACTCGTTGTGAGGCGCCTTTGAAAAACCCATTCCCTTGTCGTTCCCTTGCCTTCCGTGCCACCCATGTGCATGCCGCTCCCTGCAGGTGCGTTGGTACGAGCAGCTGGGCGCTCCCCTCATTGGCATCCAGGCAGATCAGATTCGCCTGCTGCCCACATACACCAACGATCTCTTTCACGCCGATGTGGTGTACCAGGTAGGCTGTGCATGGAATGGCATGACACGGCATGTAGACGTGGTGCCCCAGGTAAATCATGCATGCATGGCATGCAGACGTGGTGTCCCATGTAGAATTTATGCTCACATGCCATGACATGCCCTTCCATGCCATGCCACGCCCTGCCATGCTTGCTGTGCCATGCCATGCCCTGCCATGTTATGCCATGCCCTTCCATGCTATGCGAGGCCATGCCATGCCATGCCATCCCATTCCATTCCATGCCATGCCGTCTCATCCATGCCATGCCATTAACTGCTGTATTCCACCATACCATCTCATATCACACCTTGTCGTCTCTTCCAACAATCACATCTCCCATCTCACTCTTCCCCCACTCTCACCCCCTCCCCCGCTCGCCCACCTCCCCCATCCGCCAGCCCATATACCAAGACTGCGACCGTCCCAGCCGACCTCTCTGGCGGTTGCTGCGCCGGCGCCATCTGCTGCACCCCACAGGCCTCCCCATCTTCAACCCTGACTGGACCTTCCGCAGCCACCGCCCTCTCTCCCTTTCTGAAGCGCGCGCCTTCCCCCCCAACTGGGTGGTCGTGCTCGCAAAGCGTCCAGAGGGGCAGAAACGGGCGATGCTGAATTTCCGGGAGGTGGAGGGGGAGGTTGTGCGTCGGTTTGGGCGCGAGAGAGTGGTGGTCTATGATGGGACGCTGCCCATTCTGCAAGGTGGGCCGTTTTGAGACAACGTAAAACAAAACTTCTTTCACTGGGCGTGAGCGAGTGGTGGTGTATGATGGGACACTGCCTCTCGTGCAAGGTGGGTGATATGACGGTTTGGGCGCGAGAGAGACAGATATATTGGTTGCGAATGATGGGACGCTGCCGATTCTGCAAGGTGGGTCGGAAGGAGGTCCATTCCTGCTGGTCGGACTCTTTTCTTGTTGTGACTTGGAGCATTGCAGCCGGGCATGTGTGTCTTTCATTTATTGTCTCTTTACCCCTTCGTTTTCTGCTCCACGTCCTGGGCTTCCACAACCTGGGCTTCCACCCGATTCAAACCAGCATTGCCATTTATGAGTCGCCGACCTTCTTGCTAGGATTCCTGTGTGCATAGAATCCTCCGTGCCTAGAGTCCTCAGTGCCTAGAGTCCTCAGTGCCTAGAGTCCTCAGTGCCTAGAGTCCTCAGTGCCTAGAGTCCTCCGTGCCTAGAGTCCTCCGTGCCTAGAGTCCTCCGTGCCTAGAGTCCTCCGTGCCTAGAGTCCTCCCTGCCCAAAATCTTACGTGCCTAATCCACTGCTCTCTTGTTCCACTGTCGAGGGCCCCGTCACTCTCTCCCAGCTTGTGAACTCTCTCATATGTATAAATTCTTATACAGCGAGCTGTTCACCCGCACTCACCAACATAAACGAGATCACCAGCATAAATTTCAACCCTAACCCCCTCCATTCCTACTCTCCCTTCCATTCCCTCCTCTTCCCCTGTGCCTCCCCCTCTCAGCCCGAGCACTCTTGTCACGAGCACGCTCCACGGAGCGGCCCTCACTAACTTGATCTTCATCCCTAAATACCTATCCCTTCCACCCCCCGTCCCCCCCTTCCCCTCCCCCTTCCCCCCCGCCTTCCAACCCTTCCCCCTCCTCACCCTCCTCAGCCCGAGCACTCCTGTCACGAGCAAGATTCTACGTAGCAGCCCACGGAGCAGCCCTCACCAACATGGTCTTCATGCCGGAGAGAAGCTCCGTGCTGGAGATTCGCCCAGAGGCCAGCGAAGTTACTGTCTTCAACTTTCTCGCCTCTGCCTGCTCCCTGCGCTACCACCTCGTGTTCACCAAGGGTGATTCATCCTCCTCCATTGTGGCTAATGTGACGAGCGTAGCTCGGGTGCTTGATTCTGTCCGTGCACGCATGCGGAAGGAGGATGAGCGTAGCTCGGGTGCTTGATTCTGTCCGTGCACAGATGCGGAAGGAGGATGGGTGTAGCTCGGCTGCTTGATTCTGCCCATGCACGGATGCGGAAGGAGGATGGGCGTACGGTGTAACAAGCTCGCTGAATACACCATAAACACTGCGCCCAAGGCGCCGCGTCACGCGAAGCCTTACCGTGTTCGTGAATCTCTAGATTTGACTCCGCCTGCGACTAGCTCACTACTTCCGATTTGTCATTGGCTGCTACTTCTACGACCGACGAGGCTACTCACAGCAACACTGCAACGCCTTGGCTCAAATAGCGTAATTGCACTTAGGGCTTTGGTCGCACAGAACTTCTTGTCAAACTGTTCTAATGTTTATATTGTGTAGGCTGTAGTGGGGTAGCCCATAAAGGGTACAACCCAATTAAGGTTAGTACTTGTACCACTTCTCAATGCAATCATTCTCTTGTCTAGTTTCTGACACTTCTGTCGGTCACAATTGATCAAGCCGGGCTGAGCGGCACCTGATACTAACAGAGTGTAGTTTCCCAAGCTACTGATTAGGAATCGACTGTTACTACTGTCAAAACATTATATGTTTCTAGCTTGTCTAGGCTATGTAGGGGTTATCCTTAGAGGGTACAACCCTTTTTCTCGACAATCATGTACCCCCCCCCCCCCCCCCCCAAACCTAATCGACCAATTTCTCCTCACTTCTAACATGGTATTAAGAGCTAGTAGGTGCTTAGAACCAGAAATTTAATAGGACCCACCGTTAGTTCCTGCCCGAATCGCGCCCCTAGGCGCGTCGCGTTTTTTATTCTGCCCAAAACGAGCCTAGGCACGTTGATTTTCACGTCCTAGCCCCGCTGCCCTGCCTGAGCGCCGCCCTGTCCGCGCGCACTCTGCCTGCAGCTACGCCGCCCTGCCTGCCTGCGCGCTTTGCACGCCCACCCGCCCGCTGCCCGCACACGCTTTGCCGGCCCCGCCAGTAGCCTGCGCCCGGCCTGCGCCCTGCCCGCGTGCACTCCACGTGCTCCCTGCCCGTCCTCGCTGCTACGCGCTGCTGCTGTCACTTCTGCAGCTTCTACTGCTGCATGCACTGCAGCTGCTGCTAAGCGCTGCTGCTGCTGCTAAGTGCTGCTGCTGCTGCTAAGCGCTGCTGCTGCTGCTAAGCGCTGCTGCTGCTACTTGCTGCAGCTGTCGCTCCTTGCTGCTGCTGCTCCTTGCTGTGTTGCTCCCTACTGCCACTGCTGCTGCAACTCCTCTTGCTGGTGCTGCTGCTACGGCTACTGCAGCTATGGCTAACTTCTCAGTTCTTACGTTTGACGCTGAGGGTCGCGCGATTAGCTTTGATGTTTGGCTCGATGATCTCCAGCTGTACCTGCAGAGCAAGGATAGGGACGGAATTTCACTGTTCGTGCATACCGAAGGAACCCTCCCAGCTTCAGCTGCTACAGCGGTAGAGGATAATTCGAAGTGGCTCATACATGACGCCACTGCCCGCCTTACTATCCGCAACCATCTGCCCGTAGCTGAGCGTGCGCACTTTAGCCAGCAGAAAACAGCCAAGGCCCTCTATGACGCTGTAGTAGCTCGCTACTCCTCCCAAGCTACTGCTGCCCTAGACCGTCTCATGCTGCTGTACCTCCATCCCGAGCCAGCTGATTTCCTCACTGTCTCTGACCTCTTTACCCACCTCCGCTCTAGTGAGGCTCGCTACCGTGCCACTCTCAAGCCGGCCTTCCTCGCTGCGAACCCCCCCCCCCCCCGCTGTATATGACACTGTACTTCCTTGTCACTCGCCTCCGCGACTCCCTTCGCACTGTCAGGGACTAGTTCCTAGCCCTTGACCCCACAGAGATCACACTTGACTCGCTCGAGAAGTCCCTTCTCGAGGCCGAGAAGAGCACTGTCGCTGTCCCTGCCTCTCGTGGCACTCCCCGCTCCCACTTCTTTGAAGGGTGTACTCCCTCCCCTCTCCTCCCCTCAGTTGCTACTGTTGCTGCTGTCGACCTCCTTGGTGCTGAGGAGGTTAGCAGTGCGTCTGCTCCCGGTGGAAGGCGCAACAACAGAAGGGGCAAAGGGGGCAAGGGGGGTGGGGGTGGCACCAGCGGTGGAGGTGGCGGGGGTGGAGGCAGTGGGGGTGGCTCTGGGGGTGGCGGCGGTGGAGGCGGACGGGGTGGTGGAGGCAGCGGGGGTGGTGGAGGCGGCGGGGGTCGTGGAGGCGGCGGGGGTGGTGGAGGTGGTCGGGGTGGAGCTGGCAAGGGTGGAGGCCGTGGCGGATCAGCTCGTGGCCTTGGTGGCCATGTACAGCAGCTGCCGCGCCTCCCGGACAACCCCACCCCTCAGCAACTTCGTGAGTTGGTTGCCCAACGTGTTTCCCCTGGGGGCTCTGGTCGCTGCCCGTATGTCAGGCGCACTGGGAAGCAAAAGGGGCAGCCGTGCGGGAAGCTGCACACCGAGTACCGCTGCTTCGGCCGTCTTGAGGATGCCTGGGTGGATGAGTACGGGGATGAGGTGATTGTCCCCAACTGGCTGAAACTGCAGGGGATGGGAGTCGATGTGTATGCTCTTGACTTTGTTCAGATCAACAAAGCTATCTATGCTATGTATGTGACTGAGCTTAGTGATGAGGGTGCGTGTTACTCGTGTGTACCTGGTGATGCTAGTGTCGCTGCTGCTGCTCTAGGTGCTAGTGAGTCTGCTGCAGCACTAGGTGCTAGTGAGTCTGCTGCCTCCGCTAAGGCCCTTCACACTTTCACACTTGACTCAGGCGCGTCTCGTTGTTTCTTTCGTGAATGCACCACACTCATACCACTAGCTGCGCCGGTACCAGTCTCATTGGCCGACCCCACTGGGGGCCCAGTAGTCGCACGAGCCTCCACTGTCCTTCCGTGTCCAGCAGTCCCCTCCAGTTCCCTGTCAGGTCTCCACCTCCCCACGTTCTCCACGAACTTGGTGAGCAACGCCGCTCTTCAAGATGTATGGGTTGACACATTTACTCCAGGAGGGCAGCGTGTGGCGATCTGTACGTGCTCCTGGATTGGCCGTCACCTAGCTACGTTCACTCGACGGCCTGGGTGTAGTATGTACACACTGACCACTGCGTCTGAACAGGTGGCTCAGCCAGGTCAGGTGACTGCGTCGAGTCAGGTGTCTGCGTCTGGTCAGCTTGCAGCGTCTTGCTCATGTCGGGTACTCTCCCACCAGACTCTCCTCTGGCACCACCGCCTCGGTCACCCCTCACTGCCGCGTCTCTGCAGCATGCACTCCCGTCTCCTTGTCTCTGGGCTTCCCAGGTCCCTGCCCTCCCTCCCGCGCTCGCCTGCACCGCCCTGCCTTCCCTGCGTCAAGGGGCGGAAGTGTGCCGCTCCTCACTCCTCCGAGTTTCCTCCGACCACTGCTCCTCTGCAGACTCTCCACATGGACGTTTGGGGCCCGGCCCCCGTTGGTGGAACGGACCAGGAGCGCTACTTCCTGTTGGTTGTTGACGACTACACACGCTACACCACTGTCTTCCCCTTGCGTTGCAAGGCGGATGTCAGCGGTGTTTTGATCCCCTGGATCCGTGCTACTCGTTGCCAGCTGCGCGATCGGTTTCGTCGAGACTTGCCAGTCCTGCGTCTGCACTCTGACACGGGCGGTGAGTTCTCTTCTGACCTCCTTGCAGAGTTCTGTCGAGATGAGGGCATCGTCCAGTTGTTCATGCTTTCAGCCTCTCCTTAGCAAAATGGGATTGCTGAGCGTCGCATTGGCTTGATCATGGAGGTTGCTCGTACCTCCATGATCCATGCGGCTGCTCCCCATTTTCTGTGGCCATTTGCGGTCCGATACGCTGCGCATCAGCTCAATCTTTGGCCCCGTGTCTCTGAGCCAGAGACCTCGCCCACACTCCGGTGGACGGGGAAGGTTGGCGATGCGTCGGTGTTTCGGGTCTGGGGCGCGCTCTCCCTTGTTCGCGATGCCAAAGCGAACAAGCCCTCCTCTCGCACTCTCCGCTGCGTCTTCCTTGGCTTCCCCACCGACGCCCCGCCGTGGCAGTTTTACCACCCGCGCTCGTGTCGAGTCTTCTCCTCCCAGGACGTCACCTTTGACGAGTCTGTCTGTTACTACAGGCTACACCCGCACGCGTCTCACCCGGTCCCCCTAGCGCCTCTTTTCTTGGTACCAGTCCCCCTCCCGGTAGACCCCCTCCCCCCACAGGGTCCTGCTCCCTCAGGTGTGTCTCAGGTAGAACCACCCCCCTTGGTTGAGCCTTTGGAGATCTCTTCTGACTCCTCTGGCCCAGGTGAGGGGGGTGACCCTGCCGCTGACGACACGGCGGCCACTCGCCGCTCTCCACGCTTGGAGACCCCCCAATGGTTTTCCCCCTAGGCTGTCTTCGCCGCCTCCGCAGCCTGCTGTTGTGGACTCTGGAGCTGAGACTGCTGGTGCTGAGCCTTGGGGTGCTGAGGCAGAGGGTGAGGGTTCTGGGGGTGCTGCGACTGGGGGTGCTGGTTTTGGGGGTTCTGAGACTGGGGGTGCTGACTCTGAGGATGCTGCGAGTCCTGGTGGCGGTGGAGGGACCAGTCCTGCTGAAGGTACTGGAGCTGCTAGTCCTGGAGGTGCTGGAGCTGCTGGTCCTGGAGGTCCTGCTAGAGCCGGAGGTGCTAGAGGTGCTGCTGGAGGTGCTGGAGGTGCTGCTGGTGCTGGAGGTACTAGAGGTGCCACTGGTGCTGGAGGTACTGGACCTGCTGGAGCTGCTGGTGCTGGAGGTGCTGAAGGTGCTGGAGGTACTGCTGGTGCTGGAGGTACTCGAGGTGCTACTACTGCTAGAGGTACTGGAGGTACTAGTCCTAATGGTCCTAGAAGTGCTGGAGGTGCTGGAGGTACTACTGGTGCTAGAGGTACTGGAGCTGCTAGTGCTGGAGGTCCTGTTGGTACTGGAGGTACTGGACCTGCTGGTGCGCTTTGCCACCTTCTCGATCTTCCGCCAGCTCCTACTGAGTTCCCAGTCGTTGGTACTACTCCTCCGTTACGGTTCCCACA